TTTTTTTTTCCTCAAACATGCCAAATTCTTCCCCACCTTGAAGCCTTTACATTCTCTCCCTGGGTTTCAACTCAGAGATGGTTTCTGCAAACAGGCCTTCTGTGTCATCCCATTAAAAGTAATCTCCTCTACCTCCAGCCTAGTAACCATCATATCGCTTGGTTTATTTCCTTCCTAGGACTTAACACAGTCTTCGATTTTACTATCTCACTTGTCTAAAACTCACTGCCCTCCACAAGGTTTTAGGGACCTTGTCAATCTCGTCCACAGTTACAGTCCCCAGCTCCCACATAGTGGCTTACACACATGGCAAACCCTCAATAAATATTTGTCGGATGAGTGCTAGAATCTGTCCTGCCATAAACTTCTGCTGCCCTAAATGTCTATATCCTGCACTATGTGACTGTTTAGGCATTGCTATTCAGATTGCAGTAGGGGTGAAAGGACTGTCACGATCAGCCATGACCTAGGGTTTATAGGACTGGCCTGAAAAGATTAGCTGGACCAAAATCCAACTCCTCTCTCGGGAATTGGGAAACTGAAAGACTGAGCCAGTTAGCCAAGTGAACTGAACTCAAAATCTGTCACTTGGAACCAACGAGACCCAAGTTGGCAGAGGGAAAACTCACTAGAGGAGTGAAGAGAAGCAGGAATGTCGTGGAAGGGAATGCCAACACCTGCACAGAAGGCCACCACCTCAGTTCCTAACAAGTTTCTGATTTCTACTTCCACCCCCATGAGGCCCACCCATGCCACATTCCCCATTCTGGAAATACTGGGACATGTTTCCTTTCCAAATATCCTCCAAAGTTCCTCATTATGTCAAGAAGAAAGGTTCAGTGTGGTGTCATTATGTGTTTAATGGCTCTTCAATATTCGTTCATCTTTCTTTTCAGCCAACTGAGAGGAGGCAACAGTATCTAGCTGGCATTAGGCTTCCTTGTTTTGGTTTTTATAGGTACATCCTAGTTATGGCCAATACTACTGATTTTCCATCGAAGGTAGAGACATATAGTTACCCTGAAAAACAAAATGGGTCAATTTAAATAGCAATACATATGGCATGTAGACATGGAAAAAACCAGGAATATGTATGATAAGCAAATGATTATTTGCTTCAGAAATCCAAATTCTGGTTTAAATACCACTATGTAGCCAACCATCTACCTCCCATCATCTTTCTTTTTATTCCGAAATTACATCTCTGATTGGAAGACCAGGAAGTCCTTTGGATCCCTGCCCTAAATTTATAATCTTTACAGATGGCTTTCAAGTTACTTCTGGCAAAGGCACTGTATACTATAGAAAAAAAGTACGGAATTTGAAGTTGGGCAGACATGGAGCTCAAATCTTCTCTCTACTACCATCTAATAGTCAAATTACTTAAACTCTCTGAGACTGGGTTTGGTTATCAATAAATTATTCTTAAAATCTACTCTACTTGGGGCACCTGGGTGGCTCAGTCGGTTAAGTGTCCGACTTTGGCTCAGGTCATGATCTCGCAGTTCGTGAGTTCGAGCCCCGCGTTAGGCTCTGTGCTGACAGCTCAGAGCCTGGAGCCTGCTTCAGATTCTGTGTCTCCCTCTCTCGCCGCCCCTCCCCCACACGTGCTCTGTCTCTCTCCGCCTCTCAAAAATAAAGAAAACTAATAAAAAACATTTTAAATAAATAAACATTAAAAATGTTTTAATAAAATAATAAACACAATCTACTCCACTTGATGCATAATAATGCATATACACTTAATACCACAGACTTGTACACTGAAAAATGGTAGAAATACGTTTCATTACATATATTTTACCACAATAAAAAAAATCTACTTCACAGAATTCTTTGAAGATTAAAATTTTAAAGACACTAGATCACTTCAGCGCTATGACTGACACCTATGAGTGCTCAATAAATGGCAGCTGTTAATATCATAGTTAAGTTGCTGATTAAATTAGCTAATTAGCATCACTACTCCCCTTCCTCAGGGAGCCCTCACAGAGAGCTAAAGGATCCTTTAATTAGTGAGTTTTATTGCAATCAGCTCTATCAATCAATCGTCAATTTTGTTTCCAATCTT